ACACACACACACACATAACTGCAGCCAGGGCAGCTTGTCAGAGCCGGGAGAGGGAGCACTGATAGATTTTGAGAGCCACTTAATGTAATCATCAACTTCAGAGGTGTGTGTTTGTGTGTGGCTGCGACTGACTTTGGTCAAGTGAGAAAAGAGGTTGTTGTTTAAGTGTTAGTGCTGCCTGATTCATGCTTCTGTGAACTATTAACCTATTTGCAAGTAAGAGTCTGTTTTTCTAACCTGCTCTACACATGGCTGAGTAGCTGTTGTAATTAGTGGTAGATGGATCAGACAGTTTAGTGAGCTTATGCAGAACGCACACACAACAAAGCACAGTCTGAACTGTAAATGGCAACATTGTCTCACCTCTGCAAATCCTTTTTCTTGTTTTTTCTCCTCCTTTTGTCCTCCAAACTCTCCTTTCTCTTTTTTTTTCTATTTTCTTTCTACACGACCTATCTTATTTCTCTAATCTCACTTCCTCTGCTCTCCAATCCCTCTGTGCTCTGTCCTTCTACTCCTTCTTTCTGCTTTCATCTGCAGAGTAACTCATTGCTGCCAGAAAGTCTTAGGAACTCAGATAAGCGACGTAACGGACCCGAGTTTCCAAATGACACCAAAAAACGCAAGGTGGAAGACAAGGACTCAAGCCACTATGTAAGAAATGGTTCTTCTACCTGTATGTTTGTTTGTCTTTGGTCATTTGCACATGCATTTTTAGTGTTTGTACAGATGTATCAGTCACACATTGAATGTTTAGAGTGACGTATGTATGTATATATACACATACATACATTTCCAGTTGATTATTCACTTGTACGTTCCTTGTAACTGTCTTTCGGCTAATCAGCGGACAGTGTTTAATGGTTTTCTAAGTGATTGTCCTCTTTTGCAGGATAGCGACGGGGAGAAAAGTGATGATAATTTAGTGGTGGATGTCTCGAATGAGGTCAGTATGTTTTGCTGTTTGTTATTGTTCATTAATAGTTGGGAGGACTGTGGTTGTTTCTTGTGAAATGTAGACAGTCCCTTCTGAAATGAACCACAATATATTCACAGTTAAGTCTTGTATCCAGCAAAATGCCAACATCACTTTTGTGCAGCAGTTTTGTTCTCCGGTAGTTAACTGACTCCTTGTTCCTTCACCAGGATCCAGCCTCCCCTCGAGGCACGCCGCTCCCCTCACCAAGAGAAAATGGCCTGGATAAAGCACGTCTTCTCAAGAAAGACCCCTGTAGTCCAGCCTCTACTGCGTCATCAGCTAGCTCCTCTTCCCTCAAGTCCAAAGAGATGTCAATGGTAGGGACGGACAAGACACATTTGTTTAAGTTGTTTTAGCATATAGTTAGATACAGATATAGATAGTTACATATTTCTAAAGTGTCTCTCTCTGTGGCAGCGAGACAAGGCAGGTACACCTGGACTTAAGTCAAGCACACCCACACCCAGAGGTGACTCCACCCCAGGTCCGAGCTCCACTCCTGGAATCAGGCCTAGTCTGTCAAAACCCCCCTCCATGGAGTTACCACATCCACCCAGTAAGTATAAACACTGATAAATTGTTTATATGATAGTTTGTGTTATTTATGCTATTTTTTGCTAATAAGTAATTAGTTGTCTAAGTTGCCTCCAGGAAAATTGAACCTGTATTAAAGGGGCTTTGGGTAAACGATTGAGGACTTTTTGCCTGCTTCCAAAAGAACTGTTGTAAGCCTTTAATCAGTAGTCGATCAATGTTTCTAGGCACAAATTTATTTGGAAAAACCTCATGCATGTGTGGAGTTCACCAGAGTCTGGTTGATATGAAACATAAATCTTTTGCCAGCAAATCACAATTTGGGTTAGAAATCTCTGTTTGCTTATGCTTAACTTAACTTTGCATCCCAGTCAAAGAAAGAGTTAGTAGTAATGCCAGATGATTGTGTAGTGATCATAAGTCTGTAGCTTATAGCCAATATTTGATACTTAGATATTTAATGGATTTGAACACACTCTTAGTAGTTATCAGCTTTTTAAATGCACCATACTCTCTCCTCTCTTCCTCAGCTGCAGGTCTGCGGACCCCCCTGGCTGTACCAGGCCCATACCCGGGTGCATTTGGCATGTTGCCCCACGCAGCAGGGATGAACGGGGAGCTGGCCGGAGCAGCGGGGGCTGCGGCCTATGCTGCCGGATTGCACAACATGTCACCTCAAATGAGTGCTGCGGCTGCGGCTGCTGTAGCTGCGTATGGCCGCTCACCAATGGTGAGAGGAAAAGGGACTCATGTTCTGGCAAAGTGGCATTTCATATCTGTGTGTGTGTGTGTGTGTGTGTAGTGATGGATGTAGTTGTAGCATGTGTGTGTGTGTGTGTTGCATCCCAAAAATGAAGAAAGCCCCTGCAAAATATTAAATCAACATAAGCAGTTTACTTTATATCGTACTAATTGTTATTAATTAATTGTCATTTAATTCTTTTTCATATTTTGTGTTGGTTATTAGATTTAGTTTTTCCGTGAGATTGCCGTTGATCAAGGTCAAAAACGACCTTGAATCTCTACAAATAAATCTAAACTATCTACAAATATTAAACACTCTTTATTGCATATTGCATATCACCTCCTGGCAGTATTGAGTAGAGGCTCATTGGCAGGAATTTCAGCTTTAAATCTATGTAGAAGAACTTTTGGCAGGTTTGCACATCTGGACGCTTTTTCTTTTAAATCCCACTCTCGCTGTGAAACTGCATGGGGATTGTGAGTGAACTGAATAGAGTGAATTTTCAAATCCTGCTTTCTACTTCTGCTGCCTTTTTCTAAGAGTCTTTTTCAACAGAGGCTTCCTCTTTGCTGTTCTCATGGGCAACGGTTGTTGTATATGCACAGTGCTCACAACTCAGCCATGAAACCTTGTAACCTGCTCTAGACAGATTTACAGCTGTGCTGCAGTATATTCTTTCCATTTTCATGATTGACCTCGCACTACTGAGGGCAAAATATGCAGAGTGTTGGAGACTTTATGTGTCCTTCCTTGTGTTTGTACGTTTCAGTAACAGTAGATTGATTTGATCTTTTGTCTTCAAAATGTAGTTTTTGCCAGGACAAAATAAATTAAAATCTCCTGTCACACTTTGATTGATCACAGGTAATCTCCATCCAGTTTATTAAGAAATGTCTAAAAATGCTTCGGCTGCAGCTGTTCTGCAATCTTATGAAGTCAATTATTTTATATTCACTTAATTTAGATATATTTGTGGAATTTATACTCTGAAATATTATACTATAAATATTATATATTTTTTGTCAATCACTGTTGAATAAACATTACATCCACTATGATTCAGTGTTTTAAAATATGGGCAGTTAAGGGCTGTGAATACTTTTTATAAGCACTGTATATTTTATATTGCAATGTGTGGAAAGTGTCAATAGTTGCACAGCTGTATTTCTCCTGTCTGTGTGATAGTATTTATACAGTGGGTACGCTGGTGTGCATTACTTCAATCGCCTCATCAGTCTTGGCTGTATTTGCATAGTGTTCATTACACTGTTTAAATAGGTTTAGTAGACTCACAGCTGTGAATGTGTCTGGGCAACACTTGATAGAAACTCAGGTTGTGTACTCAACAGCTGCGTGTGTGTGTGTGTGTGTGTGTGTGTGTGTGTTGGATTCGGGGAGCACAAGTACCGACAGCTCTGCCTCTGTGTTTGCTGACTCTTAAACTTGTCATTCAGATGTGGAGGGTGTGTGTGTGTGTGTCTGTTTGCTTTGTGCTCATGAGTGTTTGTGTAGTGTTCCACAGGTTAGTATTGACTTGTGTGCATTTTGCCATTGCCCATGGATGTGTGTGTTTGCACTGTGTTCATATAATGTCTATGTTCTCTCTTCAAGGTTAGTTTTGATCCTCATCCTCACATGCGAGTTCCTGGGATGCCTCCCAGTCTGACAGGAATCCCTGGTGGCAAACCGTAAGTGTGTTTGCGTTGGCTTGTATGTTTGAAGACTCATCCCCTGAATTTCCCCGTGGAACAACTGATATGTCCTAGAAAATCCTCCCTCTAAAAATAATGCCACTTTCACTTCCTATTTTTTACCTCTCTCCTTTATTCCTGCCGTCATGTTTAACCTCCTCCCGTCTTTGTTTGTATCATCAGTGCTTACTCCTTTCACGTGGCAGCCGACGGACAGATGCAGCCGGTGCCGTTCCCCCCGGACGCTTTGGTGGGCCCAGGGATTCCTCGCCACGCCCGTCAGATCAACACACTGAACCACGGAGAGGTGGTTTGCGCCGTTACCATCAGCAACCCCACCCGACACGTTTACACTGGAGGGAAGGGTTGTGTCAAGGTCTGGGACATTAGTCACCCAGGAAACAAGAGTCCGGTTTCACAGCTTGACTGTCTGGTGAGTGAGTCGGTGTGGTACACAGTGCAAATTGGCTTTTTTTTGTGTGAGAGTGTTAAGTGTTGTATTAAGTGTTTGTCAAAACTATTAAAACTATCATTTCTGCAGTGATTGTGCATGTCTGAAAAGAGACTGGAAAGATATTTGTGAGGTATTAGTATAATATTGTCTATATAAGCAAAACATTAAATATATTGTTTTGTGTCTGCCACAACAGAACCGAGACAACTACATCCGCTCCTGTCGTCTCCTCCCTGATGGTCGGACGCTGATTGTTGGAGGTGAGGCGAGCACGCTGTCAATCTGGGATTTGGCCACGCCTACTCCCAGGATTAAGGCAGAGTTAACATCATCAGCACCAGCATGTTACGCTCTGGCCATCAGCCCGGACTCCAAGGTCTGCTTCTCTTGCTGCAGTGATGGAAACATCGCAGTCTGGGACTTACACAACCAGACACTCGTTAGGTAAGACAGACTTTAGCACAAATAAATGTCTGGTGAATTTCAAGGACATCTGCAATTACTGCCTAGTTTCTCTAACCACCTTTCAATCACATTATAGACCTTCCTTAATTAGCAGACTGTCTGCTGATTTAACCTTTGTGATAACAAGTTGTAGCACAAAGAGGCAGAATATTTAGCAGTAGCACTACAAGATTTGGTAGTCCGTGATGCGTACCAACTGCAAAGCGTGTCTTTGTTTCAACATTTCTGTCTTTACTCAACTGTGTGTATCCTGCAGGCAGTTCCAGGGCCACACCGATGGAGCCAGCTGTATCGACATCTCCAATGATGGCACCAAGCTGTGGACCGGAGGCCTCGATAACACTGTCCGCTCCTGGGATCTGAGAGAGGGACGGCAGCTGCAGCAGCATGACTTTACGTCACAGGTACACACCTATCTCAACAAACAGTGTTTCTAAATACTAGCATTTACTAATTTGTTTCAAAACTTTGTATTTAAAGTAGTATCCCCTGTAAGACTAACTTTACTGTCTGTTCTTTGCAGATCTTCTCTCTCGGGTACTGTCCAACAGGAGAGTGGCTCGCTGTGGGAATGGAGAGCAGCAACGTTGAAGTCCTTCATGTCACCAAACCTGACAAATACCAGCTTCATCTACATGAGAGCTGTGTGCTCTCCCTGCAGTTTGCCTATTGTGGTAAGCAACTGGCTGTCTTATTCTATTTAGTCCACATTTTTACCAATTTTCCCCTGCTGATTT